TTCTAAGTCTCTTACGAATAGAAAATGAACTTTTCCATCGGAATCTATTCGTGTCCAATGGATCCGATGGACTCCATCGGAACGACTTTGCACCCCCTTCATCCAACATGAGCGGAATTTTTTTTAAGTCTCTCACTAATGGAAAATGAACTTTTCCATCGGAATCTATTCGGGTCCAATGGATCCGATGGACTCGATTGGAATGACTTTCCACCCCCTCATCCAACATGAGCGGAATTTTTCTAAGTCTCTCACGAATAGAAAATGAACTTTTCCATCGGAATCTATTGGTGTCCAATGCATCCAAACACTTGGTAGGACTTTACACCACGAGACTTCCGGTTTTCCGATGGAAAGCAAGAGGATACGGCTGGATTCTGGTCGACAGTATTGGACAACCCTCGTAAAAGTCAGGGGAGGGCTTCGATTGCGAAAAAGTGCGACACGGTTTATTACAAATTGCGATAGGTATTATAAACTGCGATGACTATTACAAATATAGTATAGTAGTACAGAGCCTGTAAGCAGGCTACCCGGTGTATGACACTGATTTACAGGTTCAATCTGCTCAATGTCAGCTATTCTGGTTTTCGTAGGAAAAGCCTGCAAAGATTTTTAGCTATTTGCCATTTTTAAACCTGAGGTTTACAAGCTGTAGACAGATCCAAGCCAATGCTGAGTTGTAGAGGCAGAAGATGACGAACAGCGATAGGCGGAGTTGGCGGTATTTAATCGGTATTGTCCAAAATTGTTTTCGCTCCCATTTACACTAGGGGAGCCATCGAGGTCGCAGCCGAATTCTGTTTTACTCTTGTAGCTGTTACTGGTCCATGAGCTAAAGTTTCCCTGCTTTGTTGCTGCTGTGCAGTTTTCACAACTGATGCCCCTGATGTTTATGTACTCATAATGAAGACACTGATACGAAAATGTACCGAAAAAGTCGTGATTTTTTAGCTTGGCGCGCGCGTAATCTGTTTTTTTTTTTAAGGCCGTGGGTGGGATGATCAGCCAAAGATTGCATCTGTAACAACGGCATTCTATGCATTGCCAATCCGCTCAACTCGACGTACAGGCAAATTCATACTCCCACCGTGGTACAAGGGGAAGAGGTGGATGGAACCCTCGCCCTCTAGACTTAATAACACATAAATAAGCACTTTGCGTAATTTTAGTAACATGATTTACTTTTATTGCTAAAAAAAGTTGTAAAAACATGTACTTTCACTCAAAAATGGCTTGACCACCTCCTACTTATGACGTCATATCTCGTAACCATAGAAACTGACCATCACTGAACTTGACTCAAAATACGCTCGAGGGATGAACGAACAGCTACTGAAAACATCAGGTGCTGATGTTTTATCCTCTAGGAGAAAACTCAGAAATTCTTAGGGGGTTGGCATCCACGCCCTTCCCTTGTACGTCCGAGGGTTAAGTATGAAGTGCGACATAAATAACCATCTCATTATCGAGTAACTTCTCATTAAGTCGTAATAATTTACTCCCTGTTTACTTTTCATTGTCGCTGGTTCCATTTCTTTCTTTGTTGGCATTATTCAGCTCGCAGTCATTTATAGTGCCAGTAAGAAAGAAATTCAAGGAGACACTGACACCTATGGTCGTCTTTACATGCCGCGAGACATTCAGTCTCTTTGCTAACAGTCAAACGCATAAACACGTGACCTTCTAGCACGTGATCATGGTCTTCATCAATCACAAACATGACGTTTTGGCAGTTCACTTTTTCTTTGCAATGCACTACCACGTTTAGGAGAGCAAGTGTTACAAGACGTACCACTTTCAGGAAGTTCATGATCCCCAAGCACAAGTATTATAAAAACATAAAATAAGATGTTATTGGCATTTTAACTTAAACGTTTCACTGTACAGCTAAAAGGATATTAATAAAATTGCTCTAAAGATGACTAGTTTGAAAACTTGTTTCAATTTCTTCTTAATTAGTTATGGCTCTGTTAAACATTATTCTTAAACATGACTATGAATATTAGGTCCTACCGACAATTTTCTCCAATTCTAATTTATTCGAACACAATTCTGCAAAATTAACAAAAACGAAATAGTTGACGACCTCTCCAAGAGATTCTGCCGTTAAACAACGCAACCAATTTCAACAAAAAAAAAACCACTACCAGTACATACGAGCTCTACATGTCGTTCTGACAGGAAAACCTTATTGTCCTTTTTTTTTTGAAATTTCAAACTTTCTCTTTAATCATGATTAATTCTTTTAGTTTTCAACCTTAATAATAAAGTTTTTGCGAGAGATCATGGTTTTCAAGTATCATAACATGTTTTTGTAAAGACTAAGAGCCGGTTTTTCCAAAAAGGTTTTTAATTAACCATTGTTTTTATGGTTTACGGGTAACTTTATTAATTAACTTTCATAGTTACCATACACAATTTCCGTTCATGCGCAGTTTTCTGATTCCGTTCTAGTACAACAGTGGCATGAATATGCCAAATGCTTAACAAATATTTTTTTCCATAATGCTTACATAGGTTCTTTTTTAGAGGCTCCCAGAAACGTACCCCAGATGAATGGCAACTCTAGATGAATGCCACACTCTGCCGTTTCCGAATAAAAGTCAGCTATTGTATACTCTTTCTGGGTAAGTTCTGTTCAGTACCTGTTACTTAAACCTCCTAAGACCACCCAAGAAAGGTTATGAGAAGCAAATCCTTTATCGCTGGTCAGCGGTAGTGTAAGCTGTAGGGTGGATTCTGCTCAATGAGCGCTGGATATCGATGAGAAAGCTGGTTTGACGGTGAAGGAAGTTATGGCCGCTTAAAAAACGAAATAATGACAATGAAAAGGTCATTTTTAATCATGGGTAGCGTAATCTACCCTGAAGTACACAACCTTTAACTGCAGCAGCTAACTAAGTATCTTTTACTATTTTCTGCTGATATTAGAGAGGGGGCTTACAAATAAGAAACCATCTTAGAGACAATCAAACTTTCCGTGGAGTGGTGGCTCCTGGCTGTGTACCATATTTTTGACTTCCCTAGTCCCCGAACGGCGTTTTCCCAGTCCCTCTCGGTCAATTCACTTCGTTGACGTATCCGAGGCGAAAGGGCGAGAAAAAAAATTTTCGATTGGACCACGTGACCCGAAAAGCTTTGGCCGCGCGGAATAATGAGGCCCAGGGACTAGGCAAAGTTTTTTCCATTATGTTAAACTGCAAAACCAAAACATAAGAATGTGTTCCTAGTTGAAATCGCGTTTAAACTACGTAATACGGATGAATATGATATGGTCAAACCTCCACTAAACGGCATCCTTCGGAGCGGCCGTCCTCCTTTTATTAGGGACCTTAAGATACGAGGACGGGGAGCCAGGACGGCGACGGGGGTGGATGAGGAAGACTAGGTCGAGCCCCGTCGTGCCCGCCAAAAAAAAAATACTTAAGAGCAAACAGTCTTCACTTGGGACGGCAACGGCGATATTTCTTTCACAAACAAATATGTCGACCTTTTTAAAGACGCTAGGACCTTTCTTCTAAAAAGCTCATTTAGACGTTGTGATAGACGACGATGAATTTATTCTACTATGCGATGAGAGCTTCTTGAAGAAGCCAAAATCTCCAGATGAATTTTTTTTATTTTTACTTGCAATAATGACATCAAAATACAAGAATACAGAAACAACACACTAAGCTCCTCTAGTGCCACTTCAATGCTGCTCATGCCGGTTTCAATTCCACCTGTTTTTTTTTTCTCTTTTTTCAGTTTGCTCCTCAGTTCTTTAGCCACGCGAGAAGATTGTAGCGATCTCGAACTGCCCTTTTGTCAACTGTGAAATAAACAGCTTCAATTTGGTTGAAGTTTTCAGCGACCTCTTCCCTTTTCTTTCCTCTCGCTACTGGGCTCTTTTTTGTTCCAGTGAAGGGATCAACAACCATGATTTCCCGGCACATTTCATCGTGAAAAGAACTCCATACCACTGGCTTCCTAAAAATATTAGAATCCAATTCAGGCGTATAAATCTTTAGTTAAAAAATGAAATTGCTTTTCAAATGAGCAAAAGGTAAACACCGCCGGACTGTCAGGAGGTACAAGTCAAAGAAACCTTCACTGAACCTTTTTCCACTCGATTGCTACTCCACTGCAACTGGATCTATTTTAACTTCACTTACACTGATTTACTTTTCTTCACTGGGCACTCAGGAACATTCATGGTCGCGACTGCAAAACAAACAAACAATAATGAACATAAATTATGGCCTTTTTTTCTCATTTCGAAATATTTCCGACAGAAATCGTGAAGAATATGATCTTAAGAAACACCAGGGTCAGAATATCTGAAAAGGGAGTCGATATCGCCTTATTGTAGGTGAAAACAAGCCGCGAATACTCACGTTTTCCAGACGACGGCAAAACAGGCTGAATGGCGTCCTCGGCGAGACCAGGACGGCAAGAACACGAGTTTGGGCTTCGTGTGCGCATGCCTCGTTGTACAAATTTACTTCCGGTAGCCGTCGTAGCTTGTCCCGTCCTCGTATCTTAAGGTCCCTATTTAGTGGCCAGTTACCACAAAGTTCCGGTGTACAAAATTGTCAAAAAATCACAGTGAACAGAAGCACTATTAAGTGGCAAACGTTTACTAAGCCCCCACTGGTCCGGTGCTCAACGGTAAAGGAACAATTTAACTCAGGTTCTTCATGTACCTTAAAGTTATATTTTATGGACAAAAGTAAAAGAAATCGGGAATCAAGATTTAGCTCAATTTTTCCTGACCGTAGCTCCTAAGTGATCACGTCCCCAACGATAATGAGCATCATACTTACGAAAATACGCTGAAAATTTAGTTCTCAAAAACTCACTTAAAATTAAACAATCCCGATTTCAGATCAGATTTTAAGCGCTTGTTTTCCAATGCAATGTTTCTGTTGTCTGTCAAAACTTAAAAACAGCCTTAAAAGAGTGGACTGATCAGGTTCAATGGCCACTAAATGGGTGTCCAGCGCACAAAAAGGAGATTAACAAGCTTCTTTAACTGATCCCGGCCCCAATCTGCGTTGTATCTCCTCTAGTTCAAGTTTACTTTTCGAAATGCTTTGGTGGTCTTCTCCAAAAACTTTAATACGGATGGCCAGCGCACGCTGATGAGACTGAAGCGCAGATGTTAAGTCACCAAGTTCCCGCTGTGTTTTCCCGAGATAGTAGTAACTATCAGCAGTACTTTTGTGATCTTCTCCAAAAACTTTAATACGGATGGCCAGTGCGCGCTGGTGAGATTCAAGAGCTGATTTTAAGTCACCCAGTTCTAGCTGTGTTATTCCGAGTAAGTAGTAACTGTCAGCAGTGCATTTATGCTCTTCTCCAAAGAGTTCGATACGGATGGCCAGCGCTCGCTGGTTTGACCGAAGAGCTGACTTTAAGTCACCCAGTCCTCGCTGTGTTATTCCGAGTGAGTAGTAACTGTCAGCAATGCATTTGTGTTTTTCACCAAAGAGTTTAATACGGATGGAAATCGCATGTTGATGACAATTTAAAGCTGCTCTTAGAAAGCCCAGTTTTCGCTGGATTATACCAAGTTGGTAATAACTGTCAGCAGTATTTTCGTGTATTTCGCCAAAGAGCTTAAAACAAATGTCCAGAGCTCGCCGATGAGACAAAAGAGCTGACTTTAAGTCACCCAGCTCTTGCTGTGTTATTCCAAGAGAGTGGTAACTCTCTGCAGTGCTTTTATGTTCTTCTCCAAACAGTCTAACACGAACCGCAAGCCCACGCTGTTTAGACTTGACGGCTGATTTGAATTTACCTAGTTTGTGTTGTGTTATTCCTAGAGAGCAGTAACTTTCAGCAGTACTTTGGTGTTCTCTTCCAAACAATTTAATGCGGATGGCCAGGGCACGTGTTGTAGATTGAAGTGCTGATTTGAAGTCACCCATTTTATGCTGTGTTATCCCGAGTGAGTGATAACAGTCAGCAGTTATTTTGTGTTCTTCTCCACACAGACTAATACGTATGGCCAACGCACGTTTTTTAGAATGAAGAGCTGACTTAAAGTTACCTAGCTCATGTTGTATTATCCCTAAATGGATATAAATGTCTGATGTGCGCACGCTTTCTTGTTCTTCTCCAAACAGTTTAATATTAATGGCTAGTACACGACGGAAGGACTGAAGGGCTGGTCGGAGGAAGCCCATCTTCTGTTGTGTTAACCCTATTGAGTAGTAGCTTTCAGCAGTGGCTTTGTGTTTTTCTCCAAACAGTTTAACACGGATGGTCAGTGCAGACTGGAGAGACTTAAGAGCTGGTTCTAAGTCATCCTTTTCAAGTTGTGTTATCCCCAGGGAGTAGTAACTGTCAGCAGTACTTTCGTGTTCTTCTCCAGATAGTTTAATGCGAATTGCCAACGCACGCTGGTGAGACTCAATGGCTGAATTAAAGTAGCCGAGTTTATGTTCCATTCTCCCCAGAGAGTAGTAACCGTCTGCAGTGCTTTTGTGTTCTTCTCCAAACTTTTTAACTCTGATGTCCAGCGCACGCTGTTTAGACTGAAGGGCTGCTTGTTCATGCCGGGTAATCCCAAGAATGAAGCACCTATCAGGAATGCTTTTAGCTTCCGCTTTTTTACCTGGGACTGCATTTGGTTTCTTTGGAAGATTGAAAAAAAGTTCACGACAAGCTCTGTATTCCTCTTCGTTAATAGTTGTTGTGAGTTTTAGTTCAGCAAGGCCAAACTCCTCCAGAATTTCCTCTGTCACAAGGAATTTCTGGGCCATTTCATTAAGATGACCTGTGCGATAGTCTTCCCAGAGTTCCTCGATAATTGCAAGAGAGCTACATTCCACTGTGACTATCAAACTTCCAGTTTTAACATCCACAATGACAACTTTACGCACCTTTTCCATGTACTGAATAAAATCATTAAACTCATCCGGTGTTGACGGGTTAAGTGACTGTAGGTACTTTGACGCAATAGCATTCAAAATTTGCTGAGAGGAGGGAACCGCTAAATTTCCAAAACTTTCTGGTGCAAAATCACTGTTGACCTCTGCTGTTGGCTGGACCACTCCTATGGGCTCCTTTGATTTTTGTACCTCTGCAGCCCCTGCTTTTGGACCTGCTGCAGCCGTAGTCCCTGCGTCAGAGGTGTGGCTACATGCCGCTTCCTGGAGCTCTGCTGGGTCTCCCGGCTGGGTTACTACTACCCCCGAAGATCCCTCCTGCGGACAGAGTCCTCTCAATTCCTTGCAATCAATCAGCAGTCGAAGACGAGCTGTTGATATAGATAACTGAAATTACATTTGGATGGTAGCAAGAAAGCAGTCCAGTGGTACCTTGGTTCGTGGATATCGTATAAAATGGCTTGGAGTGTGAACAGGCAAATTAATCAACATGAAAACAAAGACCCTTCTCAAAGCTATTGAGTTGTTCAGTCCTAAAGTTTAAGGTAGCTTTTTAAATCTATTTAAAGGAAGCTACCATCAGGTGAAACAATTCATCCGGGAAGATGATATCTTCTTTCGCTGTCAGTTTCACTGTTGTAAGCCCGTGCTTTTGTTTTTCATGTCCTTGGGCAAATTTCGCCACAAAACGTCATTGCTTTGAGGTAATTTCTTCTCTAAGGCCAAGTTTCATAATAACAAGTACTGTAATTGGCAAAACGTAGCGAAATGTAATAACATTCCTTGTAGCCTCTTTATCCAACAATCATTAAGTTGTACTGTTATTACTGGAAAGGCAATTTTCGTCCACCATTAATTGAGGGATTAGAATACAAAATTTAATCTGTTAACAGAGTTCTTATACATTGCACTGTTTTGGCATTAATTTTCCTGCCACTGTCCTACTTTCACAAGCAGTCTGCATGACTGTTTGACATTATATCACTTTTCAAACTGTGAAACTCTGTTAATATAGACACTGAGGGAACCAGAAAAAATTAAAAAGCTACTAGAGAAATAAAACAGTGATTTTGGTTACAAATAGTCATGGTGAGTCTTGGGACTCATCTTGTGAAAAATCATGAGTCCCAGTCCAGAACCAATGAGTCTTAGTTAAAAAAAAAATACAAGTCTGAGATTGAAAATGCTTGGGCCTTTATGTGACCATACAGTTATAAGCAGACTTGACAGACTACAAAACTCTGTATTACTGCAGTTACACTGAAATTAAAATATAGTTCTTCTATTTTAAAGCAAAACAAAGGCTAAAAGAAATATGCATCCTTAACAACAAAATTCCTGAATTTCCATCCCGCAGCTATCTTTTTTATATCGGGGATTGTTCAGCGTCAATTTTCACACTCCTTTGAGACTTAATTTTAGTGCCTTAAGTTATCACCTTTTCAGAAAAATTGCTGCCGTGTGCCTGCCTTTGCTCTTTGTGATGATTCTATTGAAGATGCGAAACATCATTTCCTATACTGCCCAAGTTTTGCTGCTCTGTGTGAAAAGTTGTTTACCTCCGCAGCACAATTACGTGGAAATATATGACATTGTGCCTCAGATAAGAAAAAATTCGATTGGCTTTTAAATGGTATTTTTACTGCTGATTTTCAAATTAACGTTAGGTTGTTTCAGCTTGTCCAGTCGTTTATTTCGCTATCAAATCTCTTCGGTTAGCTGCTGTGTGTGTATTTTTTTAATAATATATATACATTTTTTTTGTTTTTTATTTTTATTTTTTCACTTGTTTTGTGCGTGCGTGTTTGATCTTGACATGCATTTGTATTTTTAAAATATTCAGATGTAAACAGTGTAAGCTATCTAGATGAGCCCTTTAGGCTCTTAGAGCAAATGTTGCGATAAATATGTCTATAAAAAAAACAACAACAGCCATAATAACTGCCACAGAATAAATGAACGGGATATTTCTACAAATACACATGTTCAGATTTTTTATTGATCTTTTGTGTCCATTGGAATGCATGCCATGAATGTTATTATTTTGCTTCTTTGGGAATTTTTATGCATCAGGGATGCAGGATGCAGAGGTTAACAAAGTCACTGCATATTTTCTGTATAGACAAGACATTATTAGGAAATTTTGTTTTAGAATGTAATCAATAAAAATACTGGATGTCATTTATAGCTTGTGGTTGTCGCTTCTCCAGAAGCTACAGTGTATAGCTGATTCAATAAAGGTTGCCTATTGGGCATTTGAGCATACCAAACAATGAAATTCAAAGTGGACAGACTGCAAATTATAGTAGTTGCTAAAAATATATATCTATGTGTCATAACTGTTCAATGATTTCCCTGAGTGACCACCAAACAATAGCTTACATGTACTATTACTCAATTTCCAATACCCAAAGCAACCTTTATTAAACCAGCTATATGTATAAGGTCCTGATTGTTTACACGTAACAAACTAAAATGTCAAAATATCATGTTCCTGAAACTTCTAAGGAATTCCCAAACAGAAAAATAACCACTTTATGCTCAACTGAGTCAATAGAATATATAATATATAATTTCATTATTGAATTTTACCTGCTAACTATACATACATTCATTTTCACAAGACCTAACACAATATTTGATTCCACTAAAATCATTTTGAAGCTTGTAAGACCTGAGCCAGAGCATTCACCATTGGTTTTGTGGTTTTGGTATTGCTATGTGTGAGGTAAAGAGGACAGACACAAACCTTAATTAACCTGACACATTATATTTTGGCATGAGAGCAATAATGTAATCTCATTGATTGACTGTAATGCATCAGTCGATTCCAGCTGTGCCCAGACCAACGCGGACGGGCTGACCCCTGAGCATTAGCATTTTTTTTTGCCTTGGATGGGAAATACCCGGGGGTGGGGACTCTAGAGCTGTCAAATCCTCCGCAGTGGGGACAAAAAAAGAGAGCAAATGCCCCGTCCTCCGTCAACACTGCAACATTTTTCATTGATCACACAGTTGAATAGTGCCGTTATAAGCATTTTAATGTGCGATTTTTTATTCGAAATCTTTAAAATGGCACTAGGATTCTAGTAGGTTTTAGTATTGATATAAAATTATTGACATTAAAATTAATAGAGCACCATAAAGTTATATGTTATGAATAGTTTTATAAATTCACTAACCAAAAAACGTTGATTCACGTTGATAGCTCCCGAGTTTCTCTATGTAATTCTGCTGGCTTGAAAAGCAATGAAAAAATGCATGCATAAAATCGAGAACATGCCTTTACAACCCCGTCCTTGACAGATGAGCCAATCTGCCTTTTTTCCAGTAATATCCTCTGTGTAGTAATATTCTGATAGGAAACCGCGTGCATTTCAAAAGCTCCGGAATAGCCCCGGGTTTGGCAAAAGCCCGGCTACCAGGCAGCGCAAAATTTGCAAATGCCCCACCCCCGATACTGAAAAGGTGGGCAAATGCCCTGCAGTAGCCCGGGTGAGGGGGGGGAGCTGGGCGCAGCTGGAATTGACTGATGCATAAAGGAAACGAGTCGTTTCGATACGCACTTAAAGCAGTGAAACTGCAAAAATTTTGCGATTACCTGATGTATAGTTATAGCCGTGAACAAGAAAAACATATGAGCTGGCTTCTGTTATGAACTGTCTTTGTTATATGTCAACTACGCGAAAAATTGGTTGTACACCTCGACTGAATCAATTTGTATCTGAACAGTTGTATTGTATCGAAATATACTTTGTATCAAAACGACCGGTAAGGCCCGTTTCAAACGTCATGCTACTGCCGTGCCGAACTCAGTTGATCGAATTAAATTCGACTTTAGCACAGCAATAGCGCGACGTTTGAAACGAGGTCGTGCTACCGCCGTGCCGAACTCAATTCATAAATTATAAATACATTAGAATATATTAAAAGTTTGCTAAACCGTTTCTTTATTTTTGTGTTTTGTTTTTGGCAACAGCCGTTCCATTCGACTGTCATTGTGTGAATTAAATTCGACGTCTGAAACCAAGTCGTGTTAGTGTCGTGATGCAGTCGAGCTACAGTCGAGCCAGCTTAGCACGGCAGTAGCACGACGTTTGAAACAGGCCTAAGCGAACACATATGAACAAAAGCCATGGCTGACCCGCTCTTGGTAATAAATTAATCGACAGCGCTCTTCGAAAGACCATATATCCAACTGTCCTTTTCATAACGCGTATGCTTAGACGTTCCTATGACAGATTATTCTAAAATAAGGAACAATCGTACTCACATTTATTCGCATCGCGAAGACTCAGACAGTTAGTGTGTCCACCAGTTGACCTTAGATCCGTTCCTTTAAAAGTAAATCCCAGTCGCTGACGATTCGGAGACGTTTGGACTGGTGATCAAAACAAAATATGCGCGTCTGGACAGTCCACAGAGTTGACAAATACTCTTTTTGCGCAATAAAGGGCAACTCGACACTTTTGTCCGCCATAATTTTAAACAATACAAAGATGCTTTGTTCCTTAGCACGTGGTTTTACCACGTGACTCTATTTCGCGGGAAGTGCGGGCGCGTACTAAGTCGAGCACAGGGGCTGATAAAATTTGTTTATCCAGTATGATTTATAAACGTAAGATAACGATGTGGCGGAATGTCTTGAGCGTTTGGTTTTTCTTGCAACACAAGAGGTGAGCTTTTATTTACATCATTTGTTTAGGCCTTGTTTTATCTTTGATCACCGTATCCGGTTCTACGCGCGCGGTTAACTGCGGTTCTGTGTCAAAATCGATTAGATTATGTAGATTACACTGTATGTTAATGTTACGTTATGGTTGATGCGAGTTTTAGAAGTTTTAGTAACTGATCAATGATTGATTTAAAATCTTGCTGTTAGACATATACACAGAGAGATTCGATGAATAACAGTCTATTGGAGATCGATTGATCTTTCACACTGTGACACAAAGCGTGTTATCAAACCCGTCGATGGGCTCAAAATGCTTGCTTATTTCGATACTTTCATAACTGATGAAGTTTTAGGCTGATTGTTCGTTTTTGTTTGGAGATACATTAGCTCCAAACTGGATGACAGCTCAGTGTCTTGTTTTGTTGGCGGAGTTAGGATTAATGACATTAATAATCAAGTTTGTGGCGTTTATAGTTACTGGTCACTTATTAAGTACTTAATGGGTGCATAATTAGATGTTTCCAGAACTGAGAATTCTCGTCAATTTTCTTCTGGAATGACGACGACTGAAATAATTAAAACTTTGTAATTACATTAAATTAAATAAAACCCTTAAACACTTCTGTCGAGATGGCTCAACTCCAAGAATAGTGCCTTTGTAGCCGGAATGAGCTGTGCCTAGACGACGTCTTCTCATTTCTTTTGGCTGACTGTATCTGTCTACTGCATTTTGTTTGTCAGATCCGTGACTGCTGGAATCAATTTTTTAAAAATACCCCGAAAACAGTATTTAAAATCTGTTTGAAAATAAATTTGGTTGAATTTTTTTTCCTCTGGAGTATATTTTTTACCATTGAAACAGCCGGTTTTTCTTTCAAAACACCCTATAAACAGCCTGTTTATAAAAATAAGTTAGGTTTGGAAACAGGTTTCCATTTTAAATACCCTTCAGATGAAAATGGTTTGTGAAAATACTGTAAAAATAGCCAGTTTTAATCCTGTTTGGAGACATTTCAAGGTGCTCGTCATTTCAAATCACAATTTAAATAGGCCACTTCCGAGTTCCAATTTGGTTTAAGTCGTCAAAAATATAATGAGAATACCTCAGTCAAAAAATACAGTTGATTTGGTGCGGGCGTAGATGGGCCCATAACTGGGGGGCTCATATGTGGGGAAGCTTATAAGCGGCAGTTTACGGTATGCTATTTGAAGTTTTTCATTTTTCTTTTAGCATTTTTCTTGAAGCTTATTGCAATTTTGTGAAATTACTCAACCAGGACAGAAATCTTAAATCAAAGCATGCTAATCACCAATCCAACGTGATTGCTTTTCCATTGATATTAGTCAATTTTCTCGATGGCGTAGTTTTACCGTATTTCTAATCTGTTCAAAGACCTCTCCAAATTATCTTGACTGTTCTCACAGAATCTGTTTAAACGTGACGAACGCAACATTAACGTCAACGCCTCTATTTTTAATTATTTATTTAATTCTTAAATGGAGCCCTGGAACAAACAAAAAGCTAACAAAACAAAGACATTAAACAATAAAGAGACGGCTATACAATTTAAAGTTATCAAGGCAACATGTCCAGGTATTATCGTCTAAGATGGCGTTTGAGGTAAATTTTAGATTCACTGAGCGTCTCTATTTACCCGATGTTTTCCGGTAGAGTGTTGTATGTGCGATCACCGTTTATTCTAAGGCTTCCTTGATTGACTTTAGTTAGCAGTTTTCGCAAGAGGAGGGACGCAGCAAATCATGGCTTCTGGTGTTGTAGCCGTGAAGTTGGTGCGCGTGCCTAAACTCCGAAAGGAAGTTCAATGGCGCCATTCCATAAAGACATTTATAGGCTTCCCACTTCAGATAGTCTCTATGCGCTTGTAGGCACGGGCCAGCCAAGTGTCGACTTTAACTTCTCAGCCTTGATAGGTCGACCTTCAATAATACAGGCAGCACGTCTGTTTAACTTATCTAGAACAGATTTGCACCCAACCCCACAACTGTCCCAGACAGACGGTCAAACAATGGCAAGACTATTAATAGTATTATAGAGCATTAGACAGTCAAGTAGATTTGGGAAGAACCTTGGGCGCTCGACGCAGAATACCTAATCTAGACGAGATCTTATTGCCAACATACTCTACATTGTCCTAATGAAACAACGACCCTTTCTAAGCGAGTATTACTCAGCCGCTGCAGTCCTCTGACGAGTACCAACAAGCATAATCTAAGTTTTTTTAAGATTAAGTATGAGAAAATTTGCGTAAAGCCAGCTAAGGACATTAGTTAGGCCACTAGTTAACTGAGTTTGACTTTCACTGTGCTTGCAAAATAAATAAGAGTATCATCAGCATAAAGCTCGACGCTACATCCGCGAACTACCAGAGACAAGTCATTTATAAAGATGATAAATAATAACGGCCTCAGTACTCTACCCTGAGGGACCCCGAAAAATATAGGCTGTTGCTTAGACAAGAAAAGACCCCCATTTGTACAAACACTTTGGACGCGCATGGTTAAATAGGACCTAAACCACTGGAGAGCAGAGCGATTCATTCCGAGTGAAGTTAACTTATCTAACATGATGCTATGGTCGTTTCGTTTCTAGTATTGACCCTGGAATAGAAAGCTAGCCCATGAAAAGTTTTTAAAATTAACCAAGAGTGATCGAAGAAGGATAATATATCCGAACCAAGATCGAACGATTTTGATTGGCCCTGTATAACAACCAACGCAACAACAGCAAAAAAAACGTAACTACGTAGACGAAAAAGCTGACAAAGATGCTGGAACGTTTACACTGGAGACAAAAAAAGTATGAACTCATTGACATTGTTTCCTTGTTGACCTCTCGGGTAGGAAAATAATCCCAGCAGATTGCGAGGATTATTGTTTTTTATTATTTTTATTATATGCTCAGCCACCGGGCCGTCTGAAGTCGGAACCGGAACACCCAGGGCGCAAGCTGAAACTTTGCGAACTCTTTGTGCTAGTTGTCAGTAAAACGTGGAGCTGGGTCTATTTAAGAATGTTGTTTCGGGGATAGTGTTAGGGTTAGGGTTAGATTGACATTAACCCTAACCCTAACCATAAAACAGCATTCTTTGAAAACAAAGATAGACCCCGACCCTGCCATTTACTGACACCCCTTTGTACTTTATCACCTTCCAAGAAGTACAATCGTCTTCTATAATCTAGAGCGTTCGACGTCGGTTTAAAGCTTCTGCTGCCGCCACTGAAGGGTGTTAGAGAATTTAATTTAAGAAATTGATTATTTAGTTTCAATAAGGAAGTGGGCGCTAGTTGTGGACGTTTTAAAACAGGTGTATTATGAAGAAGAAAATGACGAGAGCTGGAAAAGTTTTACAGCCCAGTGATTCTACATTTCCTTACGTTGCCTTTAATGACTTACCTGACGTTGATGAACTAGCAACCTCGTCTAGCAAAGTTTTCAGCTCATTAATTTTTTGTGCCAACATGGCGATATCCTCTTTGTCAGCGGTATCGGAAATAATACTCTCAAGCCAATTGATGTACGCTCGATTCGCCTCTTTAATTGCTTCCTCGAGTCTGCGAACTTCATTTGTCGGAAAGTCTGATTCCGTTAAGCTACCAACAGCGTCAATTGGAGCTGTCGAAACTCCGAGTGCGAGGAACGCATCTTTGGCACGTTGGACGCATTGGTCGAAAATCACTTTTCCCATCTTAGAACTGGACAAGTGACAAACGAAATTTCTAAGAAGGCGTAGCTGATCGATCGCTAATGCCCAGGTTTCCGCATTGTCTCCGGTTACGCTCATCACTGATGGGTGAAAATGTGAAGGTGACAGTCCACGAGGCTTGATATACACTTCATTTAGCGTTCCATGATGTAAGGCGAAGGCTCGCGAGTAGATAGTGGCCTGGAACAAAGCAGTGCAGTCCCATTCGCCATAAGACTGATGAACGGGAACTCTGTTCTTGCTACCTTCCTCCGAGGCGAACAAATTTCTCACAGCAGTAGAATCATCCCAAGGCAGGAAACCAGGGCGATGACCATGAGTTTTGTCCCACATGGTTTTAAAGGTCTGTCTCAGGGCTCTTGGGAATTCATTGAGCACAAGGGAGGAGAGTTTGAAATAATTCAAATCCTCCTCCCCGTAAGGTTGCAGGGCCATTTCAGCTTAGTCTTTTTACCTTATAAAGAGAAGGCAAATGTACAATACAAAAAATATAGCCACCACATTATACAAAATAGTGTCTTCTTTGTGGAAGGGAGGTTGTTTTCAAAACCGAATTTAATACAACACAGCTAAAAGTAAAAAAAAAATAACAAAAATAAAAAATAAGCAACAAGGTATCTACTTTTGACAATAAAATGTGGTTTATTAACAGAACTGATACGACCTTTAAAGAGAAATTTAAGACCTCACGGTTCGAGCGCTAGTTCGCTATGACGTTCCTAACGACGAAGCTCCACATTGTCTTTAGAACAATAACTACCGCCCTGTACGTCACCGCGCGACGAGATTCTGGCTGAAGAGTAGAGAGCATTGGCGAAAGCTTGCGATGAGCTTGTTATAAAAATTTACCAGGCAGTTACATTGTAAAAGTGAATGAAAACTACTGCATTTATCTGGAAAATTTATTGAGGCGCTAAATAAATTGTCCCTCTTGACAAAAAAATAAATTGTTCCGCTTTGCCACCATGTTGAAGTCATCGTTTCATACAGCCGAGGTACTTGAAAGTCAAAGGCATGGCGAAGTACAATCCGCAAATCATGAACCCAGTATTTTAGTAATGTTTTCATTGTTACCAATACATCCTTTTGTTTGTGTTTATTTCTCGTAACACTACCCTTTCTGAGAAATTAAAAACAATTTAATATTTTCTTTCCAAAACTTCGACCAAAAGTTTTGGCAAACTGATATTAGAAATGATCAACCTGAGCAACGTCACACTCGAAATACAAGTACAATGAATTCAATTATTGCGGGCATTCACAATGAATGCGATGATACCTTCTCGTCAAAATTAATAAATAAGGGAAAGGAATTGAAAGAAGGCAGCAAGACTAATTCGTCACGTAGAAAAAGAACAAGTGTTTGTGTAAAATCGGCAAAGTGCTGGAGCAGGCAGATCGAAAGTCCATCTTCAATGGTTAAAATAATTCCACGGTTGGTTGAGTAAGCGAACAACCTCCGCTCCACCAACTTAAAAACCCATTTACTGCGGTTCTATGAAAGAAAGGGCTTTCCAGTTCCAAAAAATAAAACGTCCTTTGATTTTTGCTTGTTTTGGAAGCAGAACTCGATTAACCTCACCGATAGTATAGGCAATCCACTGAATCTAAAGGAAGTCGAGCGAGATCAAATCACAGTGGCTACATCTCAATAGCATTCAGCAAGCTGGCGATTTTACAAAAATAAATCATAACATTACCTCGAATTCCTTTCCTCAAAATCCTGGCATGATATATATCTTCAAGGATACAGTGAATAGAACAGGTAATAACAGTACTGACAATCACTTCAATTTTTGGATGATACTTCTGGCACGACATCTGAAAATGACACTCGACTGCTGTAAACTTCCGCTTATAAGTCCCCCTTCCCCCACTTAAAAGTCACCCGCTTCCCGTTATTGGCCCATCTACGTATCTGCAAACAATTAAAATACATCCGGTCATAGCCCCCCCCCCACCCCTCCCTCGGCGGCCCGGCCCCCATCTCCGGCTTTAAACAAAAAACACTATCCGGTGTTAGCCCCCCTCTAACTTGTATTGAAATGAGTTCGACTTTTTTTACGACGTTATCAAGCTTAAAAAGCGGAAAAATCAACAATTATCTTGATCAGCACTGCTATGCAGCCCATTTTGAAACGATTTTTTACTGAGTCCGATTATATCATCCTCCTCCATTTATAAGTTTTCCTAAAGCCCCTCCCTTACGAAGTTGTACAAGCCCAGGGCTTTATAAGCGGAAGTTTACGGTATACAACGCTATCATATCAAGAAGAGAAATAATTTGTCATTAGAGAGTCTACAAAAGGGGTTCCTTTCTGCAAGAGAGGATAGCCCGTTTATCCTTTCTTGCTTTCTCTCAATAATAATATAAAGAAGTGTAAGGGTTTAGTACAGTGGACCTCGATCGGAGTGCAGCTTCCTTGTATATCGCAAATCCTCTATTAGGACCCCCAGGGGCTTATTTATTTCAAAGCCCATTGGGGGGCTTATTTGAGAGAGGGCGTATTTAATTTAGAAAAGACGATGGTATCAGTTCTCCATAAAGAACTAGCCAACAAAGTGGAAAAGCTCGGGTACAAGAAGTTGGAGGTCATGCAGCCGAGGATCAAATTCCAGTTAGTGAATAAACCATCCCTGATCAGTTCAAACGAAGTTTTACAGTCGTGATTGATTAATACAGTCTATCATTTATTAGTGAAGAATAATTAGGGGAGGGAAGGGGAGCTTATTAACTTTCTTCCCCCGAAAAGAGGGGGGAGAGGGCTTATTTGAGAGGGTGGTTAATAGAGGATTTACGGTAACACTTCTTAAATCCTTCTCTTCAATATTTTTCCTTTAATGTTTGGTAATCTTATCCCGAAAGTCTGCACGTGCACAACGTTGAGGCTGATTACATAGGTGATGTCAACACGATGTATTAAGGATCCACAGGCGGCATCCAGCACCTCATTAACGACGTAACTGCACGATTATGACGTAACTTTCTTGAGTGAACGACTGAGTGTGTTTACGAAAAGAAATGGTTTTAAGTGAAGACATCAAGTTGACATCGACTTGACAGAAAAAAAATCTATAAAGTAATTCCATTTCTCTTTTTCTTTCCTTATTTCTTCTTTTTTTCCTTTCTTTTCTATTTTTCTTTTTTCTTGAAGAAGAGACAAAGTGTAAATGTATGAGAAGTTAGCTATGGATTGTCGGACATTGTCAAGAATCAACGTCATGTTTTCGAATAAAGCAGAGGCATATCATGATCACAAAGAATAATTATTCAAAATGGCGGCGAGCCGGAAATTGGAAAGCAAAATTATTGATTTGCGTACCAGTTTTTGGTCACATCGCCTTCTCTACAAACAATGGAATTTAAACCTCCCTCCAACACTGAGTCAAAATCAAATTGCTACAACAGTCGAGGATTTCAATGAATCAGTACAAGCTGCTGACGTCGAAGCGTTCATACTGAGAGAGGACCTCATGAAAATTGCCCCATCATCATTTGTTGGCATATGTGACATACTTGAGTAGGAGAAAAGATTTTAGTCTTGTTATTCTGCTATCCTTCGTGTCGCCCATCCTGGACTCATTCGACCTCAACTGATTCCAGGTATTAGACAAAGATATTGGGCAAACTTAGTATCATCTTGTTAAGGAATTTGTATACTTTAATTTTACTCTATGTTGAGATACATTGTATAATAACCAGTCTGAACTCTCTGTGGGATTTAGAAACCAATGAACTTAAATTATAAAAGCAACCACACGATGGCGACGTCGTATACCATATACCTCTAACGCCGCTGCAAAGACCATTTAGGATAGGGTTTCTGTTCACACATTGAAACGCTGATTTCGTCGCAGTTTCTTTAAAGGGAACCTCCACTTCAACAAAAAGATAACTTTAAATCACAGGAAATAACTGTTACAGTCAAGTCAATCTAAAATATTTTTAAAGAAAGCGTTTGTATCCGAAAGAAATAACTTTTAGATTCGCCTATTTTTGTTTTCAAATTTTGCAGGTGTCGCCATCTTGAATAATTGTGACGTGTAATGGTTGCCCTATTGTTATTAAACAAAAGCTCTTTGTGTCAGAACAATAGAGCAACCGTAACACGTCACAACTATTCAAGATGGCGGCGCCCGCGAAATTTGAAAGTGAAAATAAGCGATTTTAAAATTCACTTTTCCTGATATAAACACTTTTTTTAAGACAAATTTCGAACAAATTTGTTTATCAACATAATTTTATTCGATTTAAACTTATTCTGTAGTAAGAGTGGAGGTTCCCTTTAACGGTGCGAAGTTGCGCCGCGCCGATCTTAGTGGATCGTCAAATATCGGTATTTAGGTTTGGCACAGATAGCTTTTCACGTCGACTTGAAAAGCCTTTCGATACGTAGGGTAGACATACCCAGTTACCTACAGACTGAAGACACCCGAAATTAATTCCTTATTTCATGTTTTAAGGAGGATGTAAACACAAAAAGGGAATTATCTTTAAATCCCTTGAATTTGCATACGGTTTCGTACGAATGAACCCCTCAAAATTCGCCTGCGAACGCGTTTGACAAATCGAACGAGGTGGAATTATAGCGATGAGATAAAATGGCGCGAATTTATTTTCAAGGACGTTTTATTAGCTGCCGTTGCCGTCGCTTGGGTGCCTCAATCCTGCTGCAAAACTAGTTCGGTGTTATATGAGGGGTCTATCAGTATATTTAATGTAATATAAATATAAAAAATATCGCACAAAACAACGGAAACAAACAAACAGGAAAAAAAGTAACAAAATAAGGGACTTGTGACTGACAACTGACACCCGGCCCTATATATCAAGTTATCAAAGCGCGAGGCTGGCCTCCATATTCCTATAAAATTCATAACAGCAGGCAAGTGAAATATCTGCATGTTTATGACATTTTATGCCACAACGACTACTTCTCACGATAAACATATAGTTATATTGGGTTCTACATGCACGACGAACCATAGTTAATATCAGATTTGCTCCGCCATGTGGAACAAGTGCCAGTCAAGCATGGGTAGCCAAGTCTAAAACCTTCTTCGTTGTTCGTTTTGAAGTGTGGGCGTGCAGCAGAAACGCGAAAGAATCTACAATGCATTGCCAGACCAAAACGTCTTGGTAAAGACGGTGTATTAGAGACTCTAGCGTCGGTTCACGATTTATCCTAACCGCGGAAACTTTCTCGCAAATATATCCCTTAGACACTACTAACAGTATTAATAACAATAGACCTTGTCACGGTTTTCGACGCCGTCTTGACGAGTAGGCAAACGCGTCAGAAATTACAGTGTTGTATGAGAATCTAATGTCGAGTAATTTCCGTAGAATGGCGGTTCTGAAAAAAATAGGAATTGTAAACTAAAGATTCACTCCTAAGGAATCTACTGAAAAAAATTGAGGGCGTTAGATGGGATGGAAGACCTAGAACCACTTTTAAAAAAATTTTCTATACATTTGTCAGTAAGAAAGTCCCGGGAAAAATTATAGACTAATGTATGGAAAATCTAAAGCAAGCCTTTGGAGAAATTTAAGCACACAGGTACGCCCAAAAAAATTTTTAAGTACAATCCTTTGTTTTGTAGCTTTAGTTTACAAGTCATATTTTTTTTCAGAACAGCCGTTTTACGGAAATCATTCGACAGTAGAGTCTCATACAAACACTGCTCACACGTTTGCCTACTCGTTAAGATGGCGTCGAAGACCGTGACAAGGTCTGTTCATACTGACGACCTTAGCTTGACTGTAGTATGATAAGGTTGTGTCTTATTCGTCCAAATTTTTTTATCCGAGTGCGTGCCCTATTTGAGAAGATTTTTTCGAAATTCTTTACCTGTCGCAACATGCTAATGTACTTAATATGTGTTCTTTTCGTCGCTCTCTAGACGCAGGTCACTAACGGCGCTCGCTTTTCTTTTCGCTCGAAGTTACTTACTGGATACATGAAACAGGCTAATCCCCATAACATACTTATTATGTTAAATGTTCAATCTTCTAAACAGGTATGGCTTTGCACCCTTATCAGGACGAGGAGTTAAATTTCTTCAAGTTCGCGTCTCTTGTCCTGAACGAATTTCCAAAAGCATTACGGCAGAAATTTAAAACCATGTGGGACGACAACTATGGACATCGCCCTGGTTTCAAACTCTGGGATGATTCCTCTGCTGTGAGAAATTTGTTCGCTTCTTTGGAGGGAG